GAACAAATTTTTTGTATGACTCATGGAGTGAATCATTCATTTGCGCATGCGCACATTTGTGCAAGTAGAGCTCACGTGCTACCTCGATTTTGGGCAGAATGCGCACATGTGGCCTCAAACCAAATTAATATGAGAGATATTGGATAATTCCGCATCCCTTTGGTGATTCATATCGATATATCCCCAGAACCCGATTTACCGCCCAGCCCTACAAGTGGGCATGTCTGAGAGCCAATAGGAGAGGAGTGAGGCCAGTGGCACGGCCGCTGATGACTGTTCCTTCATAAGAGCTCTAGAAGAAGTGATCACAAAGAAAAACGAGAGAGTGCAAAGCATGGGACATTTTATATTTTGGTTTTGGGTTCTTTTTCAGTGGCAGTTGTTTCTGTTGATTTCTTTATTAAATGTTTAATGTCTCAGCCAGTTGCCGCCTCACACAGTTGTGTGTGTGTTTTTTTTTTATTCATTTGGCATTTTTGCTATTGGGATATGACAATACGTGAAGAGAAAACACAGTTAAAGAGAAAGGACTGAGATTGGATAGGGAACAGCAAACTGGGACTCAAACTCAGGAAGCCCAAAGAGCAATGGTGTTGTATGTCAGTACACTGCCCACAAGGCTATTAGTAGCCCCTGCCATATAGTAAGCTCTTGTAATGAAGTTATGGGTTGCGGATGGAAGGACATCCACTGCGAAAAACATTTGCCATAGTAGTTGGCGGTTCATTCCACTGTGGCGACTCCTGACAAACAAAGAAATAAGTCTAAGGAAAATGAATGAATGAATGAAACTAATTTATATTATTAAGTAGTTATATGAATAGTCACACACTAACTGTCACCTTAAAATAAAGTGTAACTAAACTGTGTAAAACATTTGCCGGAATAGTTGGCGGTTCATTCCGCTGTGGCAACTCCAGATAGATAAGGGACTAAGTTGATGAAAAATTAATGAAAAATTACATTTTGATTAATCAAAAGTAAAAATTGTAATATCTTTTACAGTTTTGAACCCATGCAGTTGATTTCTTAAGGTTAGCTTAGCATAAATCATTTAATTGGATTAGACTATTAGCATCTCCCTCAAAAAAAAAAAAAAATCCTATTTAAAGCTTGACTCTCTGTAGTGACATTGTGTTCTAAGAACCACAGAAAAAAGTTGCTATTTCCTAGGTTGCTATGTCTAGGATGTACACTCTCATTCCGGCATAATAATCAGGGCACTTTGCTGCTGCAGGGTTACCTAGTTACCTAGATGAGGGCTATTTTCAAGTGCTGTGCCCCATGATACGACAGCAAAGTTCCTTGATCAATACGCTGGTCTAAGCACATGTTATAACTACAGAAGAATCAAGCTTTAATTAGGAGAAATATCAGATACTACTGGTCTAACTCGATTCATGCTAAGCTAAGCAAAGCTAAGCTAAGCTAAAAGTTCTCCTACCAGATGCAGAGATCAGTTGAATGGATTCAAAAAGGATAGGTGACTTGTAAAATGAGCCTATTTCCATAAAAAGTTCTCCATGCTATTCAAGAAATGCCATGACCAGTGGGAACTCCGCATATTGGAATGATTTTGCTAATGTCATTTCACTGCACAAACAGTGACCATCAGTATCACGAAGCTGTCTGGTACTATATCAGAAAAGAAATCAAAGTCATTCTGATCCGTCAAACAAAAGCAAACTGAAGCGCATCAACATTGACAGACAAGCCCTCCCTGCTGGAGAAACTCCACCCATCTGTTTGTGTGCAAACAAAGGCACCGAGCTCCTTTTAAGGAGGCTGAGGCAGAGAAGGCGAAATAGATGTGAGCTTTTTCCTTCTTAGCCAGCAGGGTTTTAGGCTGGAAGATTATTTCTGCATATTCCCCTCTCCACTATCTACAATCACATTATTCTCTCTTACCCCTGCCTGTGAAGCACTCACATCCACCGGGGAAAAGAAAGTGCCTGGGAAAGGATATCCAAACACAATCAGGCATTAACCCCCACATATGCTTTGGGGAATGCGATGACAATACGCAACATCCAATAGGAGACATTTTGGGTCTGTGCCTGTTTTCTGAGCACTGGTAAATGCTGCAGACATAGAGAGACGAACCCTGCTGCAAGGCACACCATAGGTGCTCAGTGCAGGAGATGGAGGAAGCTGTTGCCATGGTAACCTGCAACACATGGGTCGCCAAGCAACAGCCAATCGTGACCTCGCCACTCTCGCAATCTCCACCATGTGTGCGAGTGTTTACTGGTATCTTCGCAAATGACGACTAAAAGCAGCTTACAAGCAATAAGATAATAAATATCCATACAAACAGCTAGTGTGAATAGATCTTCATGGAAGAGACTTTAGCAGAAACTTCAAGGTGATGTAGTTACACATGTTCCATGCACTTACTATAGTAATTACAATGAATTATGATTAATTACATATATCTAGGGCTGAGCGATATTGCAAAAAAAAAATCATGATATTATGTTTCATATCATTCAATATTGATAATTATTGAATATTTTTAACAATACATTTAGGAATGTCAGGATTTTTTAACTAATTTAATTTAATTTACCCACATTACTAAGGCAAATAATTTTAATAGTCAAAAACAAAAATATTTAAACTAAATATCTGATCTCATAATAAAATAAACATAAGTGTTAAAGCAGGGGTCTCAAACTTACAATTAATTAAATAAAACTTTAATTTAAAAATTTTATTTAATTTAATTTACCCCCCTTTAATTTGAAAGCTTAATCTTAGTGCGGCCCGCAAGTTTGATATGTATAGCACTTTACAGTTTTGTGTGTGGAGCTGACCGAACCCACAAATCACGGTGGGGTATATGGCTCTCGAGGGCGGGACATCAGCTGGACTTGATGCAGGCAGAGAAACATTTCCCAGTGAGTGAAAGTCACAGCAGTGTTGCCATGGAGTGTTTTCCTCCGTGCCTGATAACTGCCTCGTTTCTATTAGGCACACGCGGACATTCGTCCCAGCGCGCTTCATTCACAACACTTCAAAAAAGTGTTTTTAAGCTGCTGCTCAGCGAGACATTATAAATATATAAATGTATATAAATCAGTGTTTAATTTCAGCAGAATCTTGCCAGATCCTGTTCTGGGAAATGTCAGATATTTGTATTTTCCTTTCCGATATTTTAATTGATTCGGCATTACCTTGTGCGCAGTGAATACCTGCATGTGTGTGTTTGTGTGTGAGAGAGGGAGAGAATGAGTGCAGCAAATGCTGTGTGGATTGTGTGCGCGCAGGCATGATGGTAGTCACCATGGGCTAGTTTAAGCAAAATTCACGTGTAACTATTGGTCCTGAACAATATTTTCAACAAATCATTTTTCTTGCATTTACAATCACTTTCATAGGTTGGTGGTGGTTATTGTTTCGCGCACAGTGAGCAGAAAAGAAACCAAAGTGATGCGTACGCAGCGGAATAAAAGATAAGGAACTCAATAAGCCCCCTGTAACCCGGACCAATTATAGTCACACCATTGTTTGTGTGTTGTTTGCATCGCTCTACCTGCATTGTATTTGCTTTGCCTCCTACAATGAACATTACATATATTTCTATATGATCTAAAAGTAGTCAAAACAAAAAAACAACACAGTGTTTCTTCTTTTTCCTGTAACAGCAGCACGGCGGATAACAGTAAATATCTTTTTATCTTTTTTTATCTTTATCTTTTTTTTATCTTTATCTTTTTTTATCTTTAAGATGTTTTTTTAACTAGTTGCGACTGGAAAATGTGTGCAGTTCATGTGCACCGCTTGCACAACATATGTGCTTTACTCCCATACGCACGCCGTGCAAGTTGCACGCCTCCATTGGAAACTTATACTATAAGCTTATTGGCACTACTTCCAAGGCAAGTGCTCAGCAGCCACATTTTGTTAAAACTTAAGCCTTCATAAGGAAACTACATACCAAATCTTTTTTTAATCGATATTAATAATGGTGTACGGTCAATAAATATCGATACCGATTTTATCGCCCAGCCTTATATCTAACTCTAAACATAACCAACATTCTAGCCCCAGCCATAAAGTAAGCACATGTAATAAATGTATGTGTTGCGGCTAAAAGGGCATCCACACTGTAAAACATATACTGGAATAGTTGGCGATTCATTCTGCTTTGGCTACCCTTATAAATAAAGGAATAAGCCGAAGGAAAATGAATGAATGATTCAATGTAATGAATTTATATTATTTAGTAGTTAAATTTATAGTCACACAGTAACTACCTCACAATAGTGTATAAACAAAACTTTAAACAAAATCATTGTTTCCAGAAGTTTAACGCGATGGCTGCATCCAAGATCACATATTTACACAATATAGTGCACCAAAAACAGTAAGCAATCCGTGTTGTATGTCAGAATTCATAGAATTCTAAAAATAGTATGCGAGAAGTACCCTGGATGACTTAATGCTTCCGAATTCTGAAGTACGCATTGGATGGACTCTACGCTATCCCATGATGTACCGCAAAAGAATTCATAAATGGGATTGAAGCATTGTAACTGATGCGGGTAGGTCAAATGATGATGACAAAATGGCAACTTTAGTACATCAGAGTTCCATTCATACTACACCCATTCATACTGTATAGAATGCACTTTCTAACAGCAGAGTAGTACATTTAAATTCAAATGGAGTACCAACTGAGTAGTAAGCCATTTCAGATGCAGTCTATATATAATGCCCAAGCTGAAAGATTTAAACAGAAGCTGGTAACACAATCATTGTTACTTGAAGTCATAAAAGGTACATTGATGATAAAGATGTTAATGCTTTTAAAATTATGAAATGTAAAAGGAATGTGAAAGTCTAACAAAGAAATACACACAAATTCCAGCAGATTTCTTCAAAATTCTAATGTAAATATGGAAATTATGCTACCAAAGATGGCTTTTAATCTATATAACTTCACAGTTTTAATGGGAGAACAAAAGTGTAGCAGTAAACAGTATTGACAGTCTTACCTTTGTTCTTGTTTTTACTTTTGATTTGACTTTTTGCCTCCTTTTTAGCTTCTTCTTGCTCAAAGCTTTCTTCCCCCTGAAACAAAATGAACCATGTTATCACTATTCACAAATTAACATTAAGCTCAATGCAGATAAAATCATACAAATGGTTATTAAATCTGGTTTATACTGCAGCTTTAGGTGGACAAGAACTGTCTGCTTGTTTTGACATGCTGTTCAGAGATAGAGTCACAATAAAAACAAAGAAAAAAAACTCCTTTAGTATTGGTCTATGTGTCAGCACTTTACACAAACTTATTTTTTCATCTGGAAGACTGTAGAGTTTGATATATTGAGAGTGTGTAGATATCCTTCACCCTGAAACTGCCAGTTAACAAATAATAGTTGGCAATTTAGTGTCCAAAATAAATAAGACACAGTGAATGGACTGTTTTATTAGTGTTTTTAGGGCTGAGCGATACACTGAATGAATGTTAGCATTGTTACTGAATTTCTTTGCTGACAATAAAAGGAAAATATTTCACCAATTATATAAAGTTTAGCTTTATGTTTGTATACACACATTTTTCATTTTTATATTCTGTTTCATTTTATCTTTAGTTTAATTTTAGGTTTGACTTATTATCATTATCATAATTATCATTTTATGTTAATTGTTCATTAATTACCTGCTGCAACAACGCTACTATGCATTGCTACATTAGCGTTCATTTAATGTTTATATATTTAGTTCTTTTCATAAATTTTTCATATTAATGCAAATAGTTTTTTTTTATTTCATTCAATTTCTACTTCAATTATTTCATCTGGATAACAACCAAATTTAATTGCAACATTTAATATTTTAAAATGTATCATTTTACAATTTTTTATTAGCTTTATTTATATTAACAAATGTATTTGACAACGGCTTTAGCTGAGAATGATATACTCTGTATTATGGCTTAACGATATTGGAAAAATCTGATATAGCAGCGTTTTATTTTTCTGTGATAAATATTGCTATATGAATACAGTTTCCCAAAATGTGAATACTCAACAGTTTTCTCGGGAGTCTAACAGTATTCAAGTACAGAAATTGCATAAACACAACGAGAAAATATGCTTTTATTATTTGCTTTGTCCCATTCTAGATTTAGTAAAAATATTGTTTTGTTCTTACCTTCAGAAGAAATGTCAAAATTGATAGTTTTACCTTAAAACGAGAAAAATTATCTGCCAATGGAGTAAAATAATCTTGTTTTTGCATTGAATGTGGATATTTAGTCTAGAAACAAGTCAAAAATGTACGTTTTTGCATAAATTCTGTAAATAATTAAATACAATTAATCTTTGTTATACCTCCGAACATCATCAATTTTTGTCCACAAGTATTTTAAACTGTCTTGAAATGCTAAGCCACAGGCCTTAAATTGTCACTATTATGGTTAAACTAGTGAATCTATAAATTTATAAATCATGTGTTATGGTTTTCATATTTTTATCAATGTTTTCTTATTTTATTCAGTTTCTACTGTCCAGTTATTTTATCTGGATAACAAACAACATTTCCAGATTAAAATTTAACTGCAGCATTAAATATTTTAGCTTTATTTATATTAACAAATGTATTTGACAGTTGCCGTTTTAGCCGAGAATGACATACTCTGTATTTGGGCTGCACGATATTGAAAAAATCTCATATTGCAATATTTTATTTTTCTGCAATAAATTTTGCGATATGAATAACAAAGTTTCACAAGATTTGAATAGTTGTATTTGATAGTTTTCTGGGGAGTCTAACAGTATTCAAGTACAGAAATTGACCAATCACAACGTAAAATATGCTTTTCTTATTTTGCTTTGTCTCGTTCTAGATCAAGTAAAAATTTTGTTTTGTTTATACATCAAAATAATAGTTTTTCCTTAAAAGAAGCAAAAGTACTTGCCAACAGAAAAAAAAAAATCTTGTTTTTGCATTTAAATGTGGATATTTGGTCTAGAAACAAGTCTAAAATTTACAGTTTTGCATAAATTCTGTATAAATAATTAAATATAATTAATCTTTCCTATACCTCCAAACATGTTAAATTTTTGTGCACGAATATTAAATTGTCACTCTATTATGGTTAAACTTAGAAGTGACATTAATAAATAAACTATAATTCAGACTCAACATTGCATATCTTGTGATGCATATATTGTGGAAGCGCACATTGCGATATCGATGCTGAAACAATATTGTGCAGCCCCACTCAGTATTATCAGGCTTTCACTGTAATACACTTAGGGCTCTATTTTGATGATCCATGCGCAAAGTGCACAGCGCAGGGCGCAAAGGCATTCAGGGCATTATAGAATCCACTTTTGCTAATATAAGGATGGAAAAAATCTGCTTTGAGCCGTGGCGCATGGTCTAAGAGCTTGTTTTCTTAATGAGTTATAGGTGTGTTTTGAGAATAAACCAATCAAGAGTCTCATCTCCCATTCCCTTTAAGAGCCAGTTGCGTCACGCCATGGTGCATTTGCTATTTACATGACGACTTTGCAAGTGGAAAAACTGAGCGTTTCTCTAGCAAGAAACAGTTAAACAGAGCATCTACAGCGCGAGAATGAGCGATAAGGCCACTCATTATCTTTCACTCTCGTGGATAAGGAAACTTTGTACACACAGACATCAATTAGCCTATAAATAATTCATTAATTTCGTTTGTTAATCGCAAAGATTTGTTTCAAAACTATTTCTAAATTCAGTTCTAATTTCCAGCAAATTAATAAATGAACAATATAAACGAAGTGCGTTCAAAAAACTGAGTTATATCCAAATACACATGCTATGCCCTATATGGTCTGAAACCTGACAGTTGGGCAAATCTAAGCTTTTCTTTAGTAAAAAAATATATAAAAAGCCTGAAAGAATGATTTTATATATTTATATATATATATATATATATATATATGAGCAATATCACACGAGTACCAGTGCGATATGGCTATATATCGGCACTCGTGAGAGGCGTGCCTTGGCTCGAGGCCGCAGGTCGAGTGCCTTAGTGCCCTCACCAGTGCCGATATACAGCCATATCGCACTGCTACGAGTGTGATATTGCGTTTATACAACAGTTTGACGGCATAATTGTGTATTAAAAAACTAAATCAAACATGAACAGTCTCAAAAACCTTTTTGTATGAGGAACTACTTTCTTCTGCATTGGATTCAAAACATAAGCTGACAGTTCAACAGCTGAGCAAGCATCTTTTAAACTTTGGATCTGTAGTGTCTGCTTTTTGCTGGCTGTATGTGGGCGCAGTAATACACAACGGGTAAAGAGGCTGTACGGGTGCTGATATTACTTAAATATATCATGGCTATCAGTCAATAAAATTTGAGAACTAGACAGAACTGTTGTTTGTGTGTGTGTGTGTGTGTGTGTGTGTGTGTGTGTGTGTGTGTGTGTGTGTGTGTGTGTGTGTGTGTGTGTGTGTATATATCATTAATATCTTAATTATTTTTCATATGTAAAGATATTTGCGTATTGCTTTACATCTTGTATGTAATAAGCAGTGTGTAAGCGAGGTGCACAACTAACGCGCTCTGTGCTGGACAATAGACCAGTCTATCTGTTCTGTTCTGTTCTCTATCTGTTCTGGTCTATTGAAAAGTATATTATAGTTTCTCAAAATAGCAAGACGCCAGCAATGCGCCTCAACACGTCTTCCTTTTTAGACCAGAACGCCTATGGGCGCAAATATGGGCGCAAATGCATTTGCTATTTAAACAGCATGCCGCAAAACGTCAAAACGACTCTTGCGCCAAGTTGAAACTAGCACACAACAACAGCGTCGTGCCTCCCGCCACATTGCGCCGGGTAAATGATAGGGCATTATATATGTTATATGTCACATATCTTAATAGCTTAGCTGAACATGTATTCATCCTTGTAACTTGTGGTTTCAACATGCATTTTTAATAAGCATGTATTTTACAGTAAAGTGACTTGAGCTCAACCAGCAAATGTTAAATATCAATAAAGCAATTGTTGGTCTTCCTACATCTATTTAAATATGCCTAAACACTGTAAAATGACACTGTTTGTGAAACATGAGCATTTGTAAATAGCCCAAACCCTACAGCGGGTGATCCTAATTTAATTTTCAGCAGAAGAGCCGTGCGAAGGTGCTGTTATATTAGAACCTTATGTTGGAACCGTGTTGAAGTGCTTGTGTAGAGCAGTAAACAATAGAACAACAGTAGCTGATTATTTGCAGCGAAAAGTGAAAGCACAGAGGCTGTTTGTGATGAAGGGCCTGAAGGTTGGGAGGGGCGTTCAACAGTTCAGAGCACTTTGCATGCTATCAACGCTGGTGATATCATAAGTGGATGGCATCAGTGTACACTATGAAAGCCTTAAATACAATGTTTGATTTTTGCATTAAATATTTTATAACTGTAAATTAGGAATCCTAATCTACTGTTTAATTTCATTAGCAGCTGAATATAACCAAGCAGGAATGTTTTGGTCAAATACAAATCCTGATAATTAAATAGCAGAAAAATCAAATAACAATACAGTAATTAGAATGTTTTTGCAAAATCTAATACTAGAAAAAATGTAAAATATCAAAATATTTTAACAAAATTCTGGTCATGAAGTCCTTTTTGTTTTAAAAAAAAAACTTTAATTGTTTTGGTGATTTCATGCACATTAAAAAAAACTTGACATCTCTAAATCTTACTAATGAGTTTGCTTTATTTATTGAATCTGATAAATATGCAATTAATAAGAAAGAAATGCTCCAATTTCTAAATATAGCTGAATAAAATGCAAAATAGACTTTTGTAAAATAATGTTTTCTTTCTGCAAATGTAACTGAAAACGACTATTTAAGATACTGTCAAAGAACATGAGAATAAATTGTAATGATTTGTACAGTAAGATCACAAATAACAAATTGACCTGAGGTAAATCACGTCAAGTTTGTGTGTGTGTCTCTCTCTCTACAGCAGGGTGACGTCAGGCAAAACAGAACCCAGCCCTTCGCATTAATGAGACACACGACTGCTGTTCTGAATATGCCATACTACATGTATGATATCGTTGAATTAGTAACAGTTTCATAATATAAAGTAGCTGGTTATTAATATCAATCAGGTAAAACAATGCAATTTATTAAGGGCGGCTGAAATATACAATTTGCCAGTAGTATGGCAATATTTACGCGAGTATTAAAGTAAATACAATTGATTTATAAGGTTTTAGCCTTCCTTTTTTGTGGAACACATTAAAGCCCGTGTAGCTATAATCACAAATTCATTTAGCCACGTCCTATTAGCACAACTTCGCTACGAGTCAAAGCAGCTGGTTAACAGCTATAGGTATCGATCTGGTTTTGAAAGCAGCTTTAGAATAACATTGCTGTCTATGACAGCGCGGCGAAGCTGTTTTTAAAGGGTGCACAAATGAAAAGAGACACAAACTGAGCTTTTCCATTGACCTGGATAAAATGAAACGAATGTTTAAGCTGCGCTAGCTAATGCGATCTCGCTAAGGAAGTTAGCAGCATGCTAACAACTACTGCTGTTTGGGCTCAAACGAGCCGCTCATGTATAACCCAATGGGTTTTGTTTACAAACAGATCCAGCTGCACGCCATCGCACCCTGTTTCTCGTCCAGAACCGAGCCGGTAAATCAGACCCACCTGCCGAGGTTGAGCCCCTGCTCTTTGTCGTTGATCGCGGTGGTGTAAATCCTCCGGTACCGCTCCGCCAGTGCTCGCCCTGAGAGAAGAAGCTGGTAGCGGCTCCGACAATCCGAGCGGGCCCCTACAACGGGACAGGAGCCCATCCCTGATCCGATCGGTGCGAAATCGTTTCCAGCTCCGGGGATGACCCTGACACCCAGCCCCATGGAGTGGGATGAGGAGGACAGAATCCCGCTTCCACCGGCACCCGCTGCCGCAGCAGCACACATCATCGTTTAGGGGAACAACGCATATATTAGATTACACTGTCAATCAACAGAGCTAAAAGTCCCAGTCGCACTCCATAAATCCTCTCTGCAAACCCGCAAAACGCCCGGCGAATTACATCCGAGTATCCCCGATTGAAACGACGTTTACGGTTAGCCGCTCTGCTGCGACTGCGAAATACGCGTCCCTTCCTGCGCCGGATCGGCCGAATCAACCGTTATTTCCCCGATTGCAGGCGATCCAACCACGTTCAATTGGCCGAAGTGAAATAACTCAAATGCGCGAGCTGACGTCCGTGCTCTGCGTTTATTCCTGCTGTTTTTCTTGACCCCGTAAAGACAGCACCCCTAGTAGCGCTGCCATCTTAGCTTCATCATCCTTCCCTGTTCATGTCGCTGACTGTCAAGCATGCTGGGATACATTCCCATCCAAAGCACACAAGGGCTGCGTTTCAAAGCGCAGCACGCGTTCTACCTAGATACCATTTGGCCGTTTGAACGAAGTTCGCGAACGCGCATACAAGTGCTCTCTTGTAAGGGGACTCGGTAGAATTTGAAACGCGACTGCTGTAGTAACGAAGCGGCCGAGTATAACGCCTTCAGAAGCGGTTTAATTGCTTTATCGTTTGTTTATTCTGAAGAATTCGAATTTATTGCAGGATTATGTAAACACAACCAGCGCGGTTATTTTACGCTAAATCTTACATACATTAAATATGTATGTTTATTATGCCATACAGGCTAATATGAATTTATTTATGAGTATATTGTAATATTTCTCCTGTTTTGTAAGCTCTGGTTAAGCGTTAATATTTTATTTGAGCAATAGGCCTATTTTTTAATAGCTCTTTTCTGAGATAATCTTATGTTGTCACTGAATTTTTAGCCATGTACTTCACCCATCATTTTTTATTTATTTATTTATTTTTTATTTAGCGTACTGTCATGCTAATTGGATAACAAAATGTTATTGTTCATGGTTATGGGTTTTGTAAAACATTAGACTGAGATTATAAAATTAACAGTTTGGGTGAACTGTCCGAAAATAAACTAATATTAATGAAATCCCAAAATAACTCTATTATTTTAACCAACATGCTCAAACTATAAACTGGTTGTTAGAAAGTGTTTCCACAGATTATGTTTCTGCATGTTATCTGGCATAGGCCTACTGTTTCTGGTATAGGATTACCACTTAATCGCCCTTACCAGCGACCTTTACTACAATAGAACTAAGGATGTAACCTTGGAGAGCAAAGGTAAACATGAAGAAATCAAAAATTATTTATCACTCCAAAATAAAATAGAAAAATCTGAATACATTTAATGTATAATACATTTTTTTAATTATAATAAATTAAAAATATTTGAAGGGAATAAAATATTAACAAAATTAAAGTTTTCTAAGTTTAAAGTAGCTATGATAATGTTTCTTTATATCATTTGCATTTTATAAAAATACTGCATATGAATACGTATGTAATATAATTTACTACACTACATTCAATACATTTTAAATTTACAAGGCATATAGTATCCTTAAAGAACGGCCAGTAAACTTGTCAAAAAAAATAAAAGTAATAAAAACATATAAAAGTAAAACATATAAAAGATATTGTTTAAATATTTGTCAGTGTATTAAGCATTTGACTTTTCACATTTTGTATTAGTTTAGTTTAGTCAGTACTAAAGCCAAATCTAGAGCTAATCTAACCAAATAACTTACAATAATGGTTCAAAAATGAGTAGCCCAAATTTATGTTAGGGAAAAATATTAAACCTAATTTTCAAAAATAGCATAAATCAAGACAAACAAAAATACACCCAATTTTGTTGAAATGTAGCAATTTGTACATTTGTTTTGCAATATTTTGCATGAATTTAAATGTTATATCTTTCCAAAGATATTCTGAGGTTAAAATAGTATTTCAACACACATATCTGTTTAATAAATCTGTTTTGTTCAAATGCACCAATTTTTATTACCCATATTCACTGAGAAATGGATAAAAATATTCATTTTCAAAATGGGGTGTACTCGTATATGCTGAGCACTGTATATATAAATCAACAAATAAATAAATATCTGATGCAGAATTTTGCATACCATTAAATAGTACATTATTATATTATATTATATTATATTATATTATATTATATTATATTATATTATATTATATTATATTATATTATATTATAGTAAACCCAAACCTAGGCGACGCAGTAGCGCAGTAGGTAGTGCAGTCGCCTCACAGCAAGAAGGTCGCTGGTCCGAGCCTCAGCTGGTTCAGTTGGCGTTTCTGTGTGGAGTTTACATGTTCTCCCTGCGTTTGCGTGGGTTTCCTCCGAGTACTCCGGTTTCTCCCACAGTCCAAAAACATGCAGTACAGGCAAATTGGGTAGGCTAAATTGTCCATAGTGTATGTATGTGTGGGAATGAGTGTGTATGGGTTTCCCAGTTGCGGCTGGAAGGGCATCCGCTGCTTAAAACATATGCTGAATAAGTTGGCAGTTGATTCTGCTGTGGTGACTACAGATTAATAAAGGGACTAGACCAAAAAGAAAATGAATGAATCAACCCATACTTTGTTTGTAGTTTTTAGACAGTAGTGAAACTTTTGAATCCAAAACATAAATTCCTTAAAGTATAAAGTTTCTTAAGACAGTGGTAATGCATCAATGGAAATATATAGACTAAAAATAAAATATAAATATTGATTGATTTATATTGATATATTTTTGGTACATTTATTATATTATATTATATTATATTATATTATATTATATTATATTATATTATATTATATTATATTATATTATATTATATGGGCGAAGCAGTGGCGCAGTAGGTAGTGCTGTCGCCTCACAGCAAGAAGGTCGCTGGGTCGCTGGTTCGAGCCTCGGCTCAGTTGACGTTTCTGTGTGGAGTTTGCATGTTCTCCCTGCGTTCGCGTGGGTTTCCCCCACAGTCGAAAGACATGCAGTACAGGTGAATTGGGTAAGCTAAATTGTCCGTAGTGTATGGGTGTGTGTGTGATGTTTCCCAGAGATGGGTTGCGCTGCATAAAAATGTGCTGGATAAGTTGGCGGTTCATTCCGCTGTGGCGACCACGGATTAATAAAGGGACTAAGCCTACAAGAAAATAAACTATATTATATTATATGTATTATATATATATTATGTATTATATATATATTATATTATACGTGTTATATTATATCATACTATATTATATTAAAATGTATTATATTATTATTATATTTGCATATTGCACTACCAATATTATCTATTAGTGAGTGAGACAAAATGAAGCGTGTGCATATACTGTACGTACATAAAACGGGGAGAGTGAGAAAATGTAAAGTGACAAAAATTGCTTCAGACAGTGCTCCAATGAGAAATGCCATTTTTCCTCCTCCCTTCACTGTCACAGAGACAGACAATAGTTAGAGTGGTGTCAGCAGCAGTGAAGTCATTTTTTTTGCAATGAATCTCAATTAGCATGTGATTGTAATCGATGTGAGACTCATCGGACGCCTTCACTTGTGCAGGGAGTCAATTTCTACCCAAAACAAATCTCTTAAATGGAAAATGGATAGGGGTCTTGACAATATGCACAATATAACAAAGGAATATGCATAAAACCTGCAAAATTAAAGTACCGATCACAATTATTTTGAATACAGACAGAAAATAGATCAATTTATTTTTTAATTGAAAAGTAAGACAGCGGTAAATCAATGAATTAGTATGCAAATATGAGACAAACAGGAAACTTTCTTTTAAACATATTGCGCCATCTAGCGGTGATCTGTCTTTTTTCATTATTACGCTGCTGTCAGTTTCTACTGCAATCAACCCTTGAACATAAATATCACAAATTTATAAAATTTTATGATAATAAAGCAATTTAATCATTTGAAAGGAATATGTTCCTTTATAACTAATTCCAAATTCAATTTTTTTCCAAGAACATTTTAAATATATGAAAACATGTGGCCGTGGATAGCATGATTGACTCATAGCAAGAAGGTCGCTGTTCGAGCCCCGGCTGGGTCAGGTCCTTTCTGTTCACACGTGGGTTTCTCCACAGGTATAGGTGAATTGAATAAGCTAAATTGGCCGTAAGTATGTGTGTGAATGCAAGAGTGTGTGGGTGTTTCCCAGTGTTCGGTTGAAGGGCATCTGCTGAGTAAAACATATGCTGGATAAGTTGGTGGTTCATTCTGCTGTGGCGACCCCTGATTATTAAAAGGGAAGGGACTAAGCTGAAAAGACAACGAATGGAAAACTTATATGCACTAGAATAGTTTTTCATGGAACAGCAATAATATCCAGCTGCAGACCTGCAGACCAACACACGTTTCAGGACACACGGTCTAGGCTGCGGCCTACATATAGTTAATAAATAGAGTACACAACTGACAATAGTGTATTTCACAAATATTAGTGGTACCAATAAACAATTTATTAAATAAAGGTATGGTTCAGTCAAAAATTACAATTCTGTCTCACCTTTTACTTACTTAAACATTTATGAGATCTTTGCTCTTTTAAACACATATGGAGATATTTTGAAGAATGCTAAAAACCTGTACCCATAGACTTTCATTGTATGTTTCTACTATGAAGTTCAAGGGTTACAGGTTTTCTGCTTTTTGCAAAATATTTATTTTTATGTTAAACTAAGAAAAAAACTAGGTTTGGAACCACTTGAGGGTGAGTGAATAGTGAGCACATTATAATTTTTGGGTGAAATGTCCCTTTAAGATTAAGGTCAACATGCAAAAGTCCCTTCCACTTCGAAACCTAGCTTACCGACTTGGAGGATTGTGTGTCTTAAAAAGTTTGTGGGATGTATTAATGCAAATTATTCCCAGAACAATCGTGCAGTGATCATTTTCCCCGATAGAAGGCGCTGTAAGCTTTATCGATCAGTTGAAGAAATTCGGACAAGAATTAACCACGCAGTCACACCTTTTTCAAGGTAATAATCACACACTAATTGTTCGTGCTAAGTAGATCTATTGTATGTACAATGTCATGGTTCTTAAATAGGGTATAACAAAAAATAAATAAAATAAACTATTTACCTAAACAATTTAACTTCCTAAAATTATAGGCTATTTACATAAAGCACACACTTTTTCCCCTCATTGTTAGCCTAATAAGGTAAAATTAAGAATAGTAGGTATAGAAAAGTTTAATTTATGGGTAAATACAAAAAGCAAAAAGTATTATTACAACATCTGATTAATTCTAAAAATATCTTTCGAGGTTTTTAAAGTCACATTTATTTTAATAGCGTATTTAAATATAACCCTTTTGATCTGTGTCGATCTGTAAGCCTACTGTTTTTCGTAGTGTCATTTATACTGAGTTTAGATCAGTTTGACATACATAT